AAGTGATATTGTGCCGATGGGTGCTTTTGCCATGGCGGTGAGTTTCACCCCTTCTCGGGTGTGAAAAAACATGCGTTCAAAATAAGTCCAGAATTGAATAAACTGACTAATTTTAAGCAACTTTTATTTTATATAGGTTTTGCACAGTCAATACTTGCGAGTATTGACTGTGCAATTGTACACCGAGTTATTTGAGAGTGCATATGATCATTTTTCAATAAAAAAAAAACACTTTTTTGATGTAAGTAAAAAAGTAAGTATTTGATATAAAAACATATTTATAGCAAAAATATAGCTTATAAAGAAGTTTAAAAAAATGATGTACTTATACCTATAAGTATGAAGTCTGTAGACTCAGTAAAAGCAGAGTTGTAGCTAATGAAAAGTAAAAGTCAAATTTCAAAGAGAAATATGTATCAAAAAAATGAAGTACTTTTCGGGGAAAACTCGCTGTCGGGGAAAGTAAAGTGCTTGTTTTTTTTTTATTCTTTCACGTTGAAATATTCGGTTTGAAATTTGACGAATAAGAACCCACTTTTCATTAGCTAGAAATGTGCTTCTGGCTTTATACGTTCACCATTTTTTTGCTATTTTATAAGTTACATTTTTGCTAATAATATTTTTTCGATAAAATACTTACTTTTTGAGTTATTGGAAAAAACCGTCAAAAACCTTGTTTGTTGTTGAAAAATGAACATATTCATTCGCAAATAACTCGAAAAGTACTGACTCAGTCAAAAAACTCTATAGAACAAATGTTGTTGAGAATTAGTCAGTTTATCCAATTCCTGACTTATTTTGAAAGTATGTTTTTTCACCCCTGAAAATGAGTGAAAATCACCCATAGGGCAAAAACACACATCAGCACAATATAACTTTTTTTTATTTAACATCTTAGCTGTGTCTATGCCAAATATAATGTCAATCCAAACTGTTCTTTGGATATTTCTGGACTTAAAAAAGTATACAGAATGCAGTTTCATAAGTTTACCGATATTTTCGATGATGCTGGTTTTATTAAATACATAATATTTTTCCCTAGGCTATTTTGACATTCTCTTAATCAACTAAGTACTTTATTTTATTGAAGATAAATAGAATAACAAAAATGTCAAGCACTGATACAGCTGATGAACTCCTTGATATTGATTTAACCTTCACTCCACCTAAAAAGCCCAGTAAAGGGCCATTTTGACGTTAAAACAAAGGAAATGATTACAAATGTATTTCAAACGGAAATTCAGGGGAACTCTACACAATGTCGAAAAGTGTGATTTCTATTAGAGTAGCAGATAAAACAGGTACTGATATTGTTTCTCCATTAATTATTTTACAGTGCGTATTTTCACTTTATTTAACAAATATTGTTACTTTTTATCTATTATACGCGTGTGTAGCCGTAGTGTACGCAATGTGATTCATGAATATGAAATTACAGGAACATTGTCGACACCAAAATCAGTGTGAAATTTCGACAGGGACAAAATTGTCTTGTGGAGACGAGAATTTCTGATAAAAATTAAGTCCTACGGAAATGGAAACCGCAAAATTTACTACTTAGACGGGACTTGGCTAAACGCTGGACACACCAAATCTAAAGTATGAGTCGACAATTCAGTAACATCTTATAAACAAGAGGTATTAGAAGGACTTTCTACGGGGTAAAAAATCAAGCAGGTAAATGTTTATGTGCTTTTCCACTTCAAGTAATTTCTAAAATAATAAAATTTTCAGGGAAAGGAAAATGGCTAATAATCTGTCACATTGGCAGTGAAGATGGATTTGTCCCAGAAGGGCTGTGGGTGTTTGAATAAAAAAAAGTGGGGCCTACCATGAAGAGATGAACAAGAAACCTTTCGAAAATTGGTTCAAAAATATACCGCCCCAATTAGAAGACAACTCCATCATCGTATTGGACAATGTGTCTTATCATTCCAGAAAATTTAAAAAAAATCCAACTACTGCTTCTAGAAAAGTTGACATCCAAGCATGGCTGAAATAAAACAAAATATAGGGTTTGAGGACTCCATGTTAAAAGTGCAACTGCTGGCTATGGTTAAGGAACATAAGGAACAATATAATAAATATATCATTGATGAGATGACAAAAAGCCAAAACAAAGTAGTGTTAGGACTGCCCCATACGATTGTGAGCTGAATCCGATTGAGCTCATCTAGGCAGAAGTAAAAAAATTATGTAGCAGCCAAAAACACTACCTTTAAATTTGCAGATATGAAAAATATTTTTTATGATGCAATAAATAATATTACTAGTCCAACTACGTGGCAAAAATGTGTGCAACACATTCAATAAAAAGTTGAGTCCAAAATGTGGAAGTTGGACAATATAATAGAACAGGGCTTCCCAAACTGTGCGTCGCGACGCCCTTGGGCGTCGCTGCGTTGTCCCAGGGGCGTCGCGTGTCACCGCGGACTTTTATTACAGAAACTATATTTATTTGACTTTAAATAAGTATAAAATATATGTATTAATAAATAAATTGAATAAAAAATATAAAATAAAGTCGATAGACCCTTGATTTATCCAAAATTATTCCAAAAATTGTTTAATTCAAAAATTATCCGGTCGGCTCCCCTCCCCCGTGTTCTCTACTGTCGCACGTTTTATGTCATTTAACTAAACTTTTGTTTTGTTTTATTACGCGCGCGGATTTTTTGCTATCAACAATGGATAATTGAATGAACTGATGATGCATGATGAATATATGATAACTGATGAAGCTATAAAAGACAGAATAACCAAAGGGGAACGAATTATAGGTGCATTGAATTCAGTACTATGGCAAAAAAATATAAAACCGGAAACAAAAAAAAGAATATATACTTAACACCATATTGAAACCAATAATCGTCTATGGCTCAGAAGTATGGCAGTTATCACAAAAACTTAAAGGTAACCTATTGGCAGTTGAAATGGATTTTTGGAGGAGAGTAGCGGGAAAGTCTCAATTAGAACATGTGAGAAATGAGGACATAAGGAATCAAATGAATGTACAAAGATCAATTATAGAAGACATCGAAAAACAACAACTGACATGGTACAGACAATATCAGAATGGGTACCACCAGAGAAAAGAAAACGAGGACGACCACCAACTACATGGATGCAAGGAATTTCAAAAGCAATATCAGTAAGAAATCTATCTGAAGAAGACTGGCAGAATAGACAGGCTTTGCGAACGGGATGGAAACCAAGGCTTTAAGTGTAAAATAGACACATTGTGTCATACATAGAGAGGCCTTAGCAGCAAAGAACGTTCCACCTGAATGAAGTGTTGTGATGGATAGCATTATTAAAGTGGTGAACTACATTAAAATACGACCCGTCAAATTAAGGTTTTTCCATAAAGTTTGTGAAGAAATGAGGGTTAAGGACACCTCTTTAATATTACTCCAACTCTCCTTGGCTGTCCAAACTCAGCATACTCGCACGAGTATACGAATTAAGACACGAATTTTACACATATATACATACAGAATCACATGATTATACGCAAAACTTTATTAATTCAGAAATTATAAGTAAAATTAGTATATACCTGTGACATATTTAAAAAATTTAATGATCTTTGCAGAGTAACAATACTCACTCATATCCTGCAATTGGCAGATAAAATGGGTTTCAAAAGAAGTTGCTCTTATGGAAGAGAAAATTAGAAGATCAAGAAATTAACTGTTTCAATGCTTTACAAGATATTCTACAAGAAAAATATGTTTACGCAACACATGTTATCATGTGAGATATATAATATAGCGAACATGTTGAGAAATATTTTCCTGAATATATGAAGCAATATGACTGGGTCAGAAACCCTTTCCTGTCATACAGTCCATTCAACAGAGGAAGAAGAACAACTGACAAAATTGTTCTATAATTCCAGCCTAAAGCTTTCAATATGACAAGGACAAACTTGTTGCATTTTGGAGCTCATTTTCTCATGAATATCATGCCATCAGCACTGTTGCATTAAAAGTCTGCTACCATTTGCGACTTCGTACTTGTGCGAAACACCTTTTCCACAGTTGTAGTAATTAAAAATAAGTACAGGTTAAACATAAACTTAGAAAAAGAAACGAGCGTGGCAATTTCTAAACTGGAGTCGCTGTTTCATAACCTGTGCTCAAAAAGCAATCACATCCCTCAGAATAATCAGCCACTTACATAAATAAATATCCCTTTTCATTTTTGTGTTTCATGTTTCATTTCATTCCTAACTTTTAATAAAAAATATAAATGTTCAAATAGTGTTTTTGTTATAACTATAACCTGCTACTAGGCTAGTACTAAAATTGGTAAGTATTATCGGGGGTTGGGTTGAGGGGGCGTCGCAAAAAAATACTAAAGTCCCTAGGGTGTCACAGTACGAATAAGTTTGGGAAGCCCTGTAATAGAGAATCATATTGAACCCATAATAATAAATCCAGACAAAGACAGCAGCACATGTAGCTCCTCAGACACTGAGTAATTTAAATGGAATGTTTTTATGCTTTAATAAACTTATAACAATATTACTTTATTCAAAATGGTCACTTGGAACATTAAATTTTACTCACAATGATTAATTTTTATGAAATTTTTACACTAATAGTTTCAAAAGTAACTTTAAATAGTTACAAACAAACATCAAGTGTATTAACATAATCAATTGACTCTGAAGTTGCAAACAGGAAGTCTTCAGGGCTACCATTGTAGGATCTTGAGCGACAAATATTTTTAAAAATCATATGATACACCTCAGTACAATCCTGTTAGGCTTTCACATGTTTGTTGACAATTGGGAATATGTAAAATGAATGTAGTTTACACCAGTAACACTTTGTTCATTTTAAAACTAAACTTTAATATTATTATAATTCATATGATCTTCCACAATTTTCGTAATACACCTTTTAAGAATATTTCAAATAATTTAATAAGATGGATACTTCCACTTTCAATTTATGAACCATTATAATATGGATAAATAGCACTACACTTACCCAACAAAACAAGTTGAGAACATTTCCTGTTTATTTTCAAAACTTTGCTAATCTCAGCTTCCGGACAGAATAACATAATGTTGTGTTGAGTAACATAGAAATCTAAAATAGCCTCATAAGGTGTTCCTTTTACAGTAGCCTTAATTAATTTTTTTCCATACTTCTTTAATTCCATTCCCTGTTTCTTATACATGGCATAATATTTGAATTCTTCGTCAGCTTTCATAGAATTATAATGAAAGAAAACAATTAATTTAGAGGAGGTAAGTCTATCATATATTTCTTTTGCATAAATCTTCTGTAATGGATTGAACTCTTCTTCATCTTTATTAACCTTAACATTAAATTTACAGAGTTCGGCCGAGGTTTTATCTTTATACGGACTAATAAACCATGGCTTGGTTAAAGCTAAGAATTTAGCCTTTTCGAAATGGGGAGGTTTTGGTTTCTGGACATTTATTTTCCCCCTAAATCTTCTACACTGAATTAAAGGATTTATTGCCTCCAGGAATGCTAAAACAAATTTAATAAATACAATATAACTATAATCAGAAAAATCTTTAACCTTTTTTCGGCCACAAAGCCATTGAGAAAATTAATAACTCAAATTAATTATCAAATATCTAAAAAAATATTTTTCACATTAATTTTAGGATTTGTAGGTTAAACGGGTAGGGGAGGGGGGTTAAACCACAGCACACTACCACCTAGCATTGAAACTCCCGGTGTTAATGAGTAAAACAATGATTTGGCGCATCACCTAGTGATCGGGCGCGTAACTATACATACATGGCGCTAAATTCGATAAAACAAGAAAAATCCTTATCCTATACGATAATAAATATTTTTCGTATACTTTTTGGGTTTTCTTGTTATGTTGAGACTATATTAATTTTCCATTACATTAAAATTACAAAGTGGTTAAAAAAATTAAAGAATAAAATATAGAATAAAATCTTTATTTATAAAAATATTACAAGAAATGTTATATGTGTTACAAGAAATATTAATAATACAAGCCAAGTGTAGTATAATTTAGTTTTCTTATCAATGGGTTATATGGAAATTGGTGAATCTAGCATTGAAAACCAAATATTTAGACATCACTAAATGGAAAACTGCTTTACCAGGAGCTCTGCACTATATACAAAGTTTACTGTTGAATTGAATTGTTATATTATTGAATCACGATAATGATGAAGATGAAAGTCCAAATAACACACTAGAGAATTCCACTACTAAATCAATACCAAATGTGACAGAAAATTTACCTGTTCAAAAACCTGATGATAATTATGAACCAAGATTGGAAAATTCAGATTTTCAATCAAGCTGAAAATCAGCTGGAGCTAAAAATAAACCAAGATAGTTGCAATATTTTGTTCAAAAATAGGGACGGGTGAATGTAGTATAATTTAGTGTTTTAAATGTTGACAAGAACTTGTCAGTATTTAAATAATTTTTTTGGAATTCTAATATCAAATTAAAGCCTAATAAGCAACAGACAGCCGTCAGACTTTCTTTGTTTTTTGTAGTACCTACTTACATTACTAATTTAATTACTAATTTAATAACACACACCTCTAGCGGTCAGTGAGAACTCTTACAGTCTGGCGTTCTACTCACAGAAAGTGAAAAATCATAATAATAAAGTTCCAGAAAAATATTCTGGCTATCATCAAAATAATGATTTTGATTCGATTAGCAAAATATTGCTTCTTGCAAAAAGAAAACCCAAGAATAAGGAATAACTGAATGATAGCAAAAAGAAAAAACAAGCAAAAAAAATAACAATGGATAAGGTAAATCATTTATTTCTAAGGTATGTTCAAAGTTTTCACCCAGAATGCAAACTTTGCTAAAACCTGATATAGTAACTTTATTTGCTCAGTATAAACTCCAAACAACAGAGGATAATAATGTTTTTATGCCTGAAATGACAAACACAATTATAATCAACAGATTTTTTCACCAGTATGTCATTTTAAGATCAGTCATCCCATGTTATATCCCTATCATCAACAGAAGAGGACAGATCCCTGTCGACACATTCAAATTTATTTATTTATAACTCTGAACGCCTGACAGCTGTCTGTGTGGATGCAGGCCATCGAGCAAAAAGACAAATTGTCTTTTTGCTCGATGGCCTGCATCGATAGTCATTGCAATGACTGTATTAAACTTTTGATGAGTAGGATGATTTGAAAAAATTTTAAGTATCTTCCAGAGTATGTTGGCTTTTGATACCAATCTACCAATATTTTGTTTTGTTCTGTTCTTATTTTTTTGGTGTCCAGAAATGATATCGAACAATCATTTGCAATCTCTAAAGTAAATTGGATATGTTTGTTAAAGGTATTGAAAATGTTTAAGGTATTTTGAATTTGTGAAGTAGGAACGAACAGAACATATAAAATCGTCTACAAATTTTTTAATGAAAAGTAAAGGGTAATTGTGGAATAATGACATCCAGCAAATGGTCCAAAATGACGGTTGCTATTATGAGGCTGAGTGGACTACCCATAGGTGCTCCAAATATTTGTCGATAGAATTTATCATTAAAGCTAAAAAAGGTGTTCTCAAAAACATAGTTCAGAAGTGTTAAAAAACTATCCTTGGGAATTGTTGTATAATTTTGGATGAGATTCCATTTTGACTGTATTATATTACTGACCAGATTTATTGGTATGTTAGTAAATAACGATATGACATCTAACGAAATTAAAACATAATCTTTCGGTAAAATCAACTCTCTGACATCATTAACAAATGAAAATGTATCTTTTGCATTATAGTTGTTCACTTCGTCAAAAGCATCTTTAAGAATGTTAGCAAGAAATTTGGATAAGTCATAAGTTACTGAATTTATAGAGCTTACAATAGGTCTACCTAAGTCAAAGGATACATTTTAATTTGTTAATGATGCCAGAGAGTTGATTTTACCGAAAGATGATATATACTGGTAACTGGTAAATCGTAAAAGCTTTTTCCAATAATTAAGATGTCATACTTAAAACTTACTGTATACTATAGAGATATAAATAATAATTAATTTGTATAAAAGTATCTCTGACTTGCGCGATTTATAGTGATTTTAAACCAACGGTTAGTTGAGACTTTTTCTCCATCGAAAAGAGCATTTTCATTTATTATTCTATATTTTAATTTAAAAGATTTAATATACTTTTAACATAATTAAATATGTAAAACAGATTATAGACAATAACCATCGAGTTAGAATCATCTATATTTATACGTCCATGGAATAATCTAACTCGATGAGAATAACACAAATCACCTATAAAATATTTTACTGTATTATGAATTGCATAACCACCGCATAACTATGTGTCAAATAGCTATTCCAAAAATGAACAAAGAACAAATCGTTCTTCTGTATTGTTTTTAGAACGTATTTTAACGTCATATTTTTTATTCTAACTTCTTTTTTGCCAAGTGAGGTTTTCTAAGTACTTTCCTTTATACAACTTCAAAATTGACTTCAAATTTGTTATTTTGTTCACAAATGTCACATACGTCAACATGACTCAAAAATATGTTGTGTGGCAAGCCAATGAAAACAATTTTAAATTTAAATTCTACATTCTGTTTTGTTTTCAACAATGAGCATGTATTTTAACTTTGCGTGTAGAAGAGTACCAGTATAATTTACCCCTGTGGAGGTTTGTTTGTATTCTAAATATTCTGAATTAACTTTACTTCTTGGACTTCTTTGAATATTATCTATAAACATATATTTTCGTATGCTTTGAATCATAATATTTTTAGATTATGTACAATAGTTCTGGTTTAATACCCGCAAGGTTTTTGATTTTGGTTGCTCATTTCATTATTTGTGTTACTTTATTATGGAACAAGGAGGAGTCAGTGAGTGCTTGTTTAATGGGGCAGATGCACCTAGAGTTAGAAAAAATTCATGGCAGTTACCTTACACAGTAAGTTAAATTATTGCTAATTACTAACAACCTGCTCCTGCTTGATAATATTTTTATATTTTTGTGAAAACTTTCTTTATTTAAATTAGGTAAGTATGTGAATAACTTAAAATGATTATCACATGCTTACCTTTATTTAATGAAGTTAACAGCCTTTGACCCATAAATGAACTCATATTCATTTTACTCATTTTTCTTTTCTGGACTGATGTTTTCTCATATTATTTACTAATACAAGTTGACTATAAGGTTGTAAGGTTGTGTGGTAACCATAAATAGGAAATATTACTTGTTTTTAATATGTAAAGGCTGGTACACAAAAAGGTAAGCACAACAAAATAAATTGTATTGTAATATATCAAGAAGAATGAAACCATTTTTATCCCAAGTGCCTTTAATGTAAAAGTAACAAAGAGAATACTGTTAGAGGATAAAAAAAAAACAGAAAACTGTTTCAGATTTCAAATCATGAATGTGTTGCCTGTGTGAGTCCATTTCAAATAGGTAAAAAGAAACAAAATAAGACTTACTAACAATCTTTTAAAAGTAAGGTAAATACTTTTTACCTGTCTTTTCTTTTTAGTTAAAGGTAAGACTTTTTACCTGGTTGAGAATTATTATTAACTAGGAGTAAGAAACAAAAGAGGCAATTGTTTCAAACTATCTCCAAAAGACCTTTACACAAAGACACCACAATATACACTAGATTACCTATTTGGAACTAAAATTCACTGTTTCCTCCTACCAAAGAAATGGATAAATAAAATTTTCAGTATAGAAACTTGTCCTGGTATAGATGTACAGTCAGATCACAATCTGTGGTAGGTAGTACTAAAAATTGAACTAAACAGACTAAAAAAAACACATCAAGGAAGTTTTAAACTCTGAGACAAAACATCACTGCATGCCTGACAAACTCAATGAACAACTGAGTAAAGCCTGAACAATTAAATGGTATACTTTACAAATAAGGAAGACATTGAGCACATTAAAGTCAGCTTGAAACTGTATTTTTTGATGTGCAAGGATATGACAAAACTTTGAGTAGTAAAACAACTTAAAGCATGGGTGGCTCAAGGCATATTAAATTAAACAGAGATTATTTAAAAATGTGCAAATAGAAAAATACATTTACACACCTATTAGACCAATAATAATAATAAAGTGTAAATAAAAAATGTTAAAAGTATGAAAAATAAAACAATACAAGCTTTGTACTATTGCAACTATTGGATTTTTTTTAAATGCCTGTAAGACATAAACAAATAAAGTTGAGAGTATTCACTTTAATAAAATCAAGCATTCAATAAATTTATTTACAGAAACAATAGTTATTATAGTAAATAGAAATATGAAATAAATATCTATTCCTTGTTCTATGAAATGTATTTAAAAATCATAAGTTCAAGAAGCTCTTGATAAACAATAATTCTATTAAACTGTACAAGAAGAATGGAAAAAATTAGTTCCTATGGGTCCAAAGCAATTGAGGACTCAAAATAACTATTTACTATTGTTAGTGGTTACAGTCAATGTTACAGTTAAAACTTGAATATCAGACAATACTAGAATTACCTGGATAGATTTAGAATTATCCAAGCATATTGTTCTGAAGCTATTTTCTTGTGGCATTTTAAATTAATTACTATTTAACTAGGAATAAACCACAATTAAAGATAAAATATGTTTATTAACATTTCAATTTCCACTTCGGAAATCGTTCTCAAAATACAAACAGTAAATTAAACAAATTTTGTTTTTTGTTACATAGTGAAAAATTCTTCTAATAATTTAATTTTATCTGACTCATTTATATTGACAATTCAGACATACATTATGCATTTTAAAGTAGACAACTTTAAAATGATATTGCCAATATTGTTGAGTTGCGCTCCTGGGACGACTTTACTTATAAGATAGTTCATTCCATTACATGAAATCAACTTTAACTTGAGAATATCCGTCAGAAAAAAAAGCATAGCAGATAAAGCTACATATTTGTGAATATTTTGTTATATTCTGGATTTATCTGGTTAATATATTATCTTGTTCAAATAAATAACCATTTCTAATTTGGAGTAAAAAGAATATTACTTATAACGCCTTTTTCATTATATTAAGGTTGATCTGCACCCTCGATTAATTTGTTTCTGATCCTAGAGATGGCTCTACTGCGGCATGCTACTGTGGTAAATTTTTTAACTTAATTGTAGATTTCTACATGACGACTCTGTAATATTTTCAAATCCTAATATAAATTGCAGTTTTCTGTCAGTATATCAATTGGCTGAGTTGCCAAGTTGTGTAGACAGTAATTTTATCAAATATGCTATAACTTAAATGGTTACTAGTAGACCAACTAAGCAAAGATATCTTATAACAACATCTTTATGTATAATACTTTACTGTTCTGCTATGTCAGTCGGAATATAATATACCAAATTCATTCATTATCTAAACAATTTTACTGACAAAGAAATTATGTATGTTGCAGCTTTCTTTGTGAGTATAGTATTTCCATTAAATGCATACATCATATTATATTACATTTTTGTTGATAGTTAAAAATTAAAAAATGATCTGGTATTATGATTATGTAATATTTTAGTGGAAAATGACAAACATGTTATTTAAGTCTGTTTATTAATATCTATTACTATATGTCTTTATGGATTAATAAATTTTACTATGTCTTCTTCTTCGGTTATATTTATATTTCTTATTTCATGCTTCATTGTTCTGGCTTTATTGGTCTGTTTATTCTTATAATTTTTCTTTTAATAATTCTTACTTTTTCTTCATCTTTTTTCGTGAGACACCTTACTTCCGCTCCTTATGCTATCATCGGTCTAATTGCTGCGCTATGTATTTTTGTCTTTGTTTCTTTTGCTGTTTTTTTTTATTTTTAAGTAGTGGGTGATATTTCCAAAACACCCCGTTCTTCTCCCGCCTTGTGTGCTTGGTGGTCATATGTTGAATGTATGATTTGGAGTGTTTGATGCGTATTTAATTATTACTGTTCTATTTGGTCCATTTAGTTCTTCAGTTTCAGTATTCGACAATTTTATAACGCCAAATCAGGACTATGTGGAAAGTGTTATTGTGTATGTGTTTATTGCTTTTATTGTGTGCTTGGAATTAAGTTTGATTTTGAGTATTATCCAGATTTAGCCATACGACTCACACTCCCTCTAAGAGGAAAATTCACTCATCCCAGATACCTACGGTATCAAAAGGATTGAGCTCTAGTGGGACTCTTTCTGCATTATTAAGCCCTAGGTGACTTGGTATGCTGAAGTACCTCCCAAAAATTTTCGTAGACATCTGGACGTCGCGAGGAGTACAGCTTTATGTATGGCCTTATAATGATGTTCATTTAGACCCAGCTGTTTTATGTTCGCTAGGTGATTTTTGGGAATAACACGAGTAACATGAGTATCCAGATTTAGCCATACGGCTCATACTGCCTCTAAGGGGAAAATTCACTCATCCCAAATACCTACGGTATCAAAAGGATTGAGCTCTGATGTGACTTTTTCCATGTTATCGAGTCCTAGGTGACTTGGTACGTCGGTGTATCTCCTAAAAATTTTCGCACGCATCTGGACGTCGAAAGTAGCACAGCTTTCTGCATGAACTTATATAGATGTTCATTTAGACCCAGCTTTTTTATGTTTTCCAGGAGGTTTTTCGGAATGACTCCAGTGGTAGAAAGAATAATAGGTATCGTCTGGGTACTTTTCATTCTCCATTGCCTTCTTATTTGTATTTCCAGATCTCTGTACTTGGAGATCTTTTCATTGTACTTAACTTGCAGATTATTGTTGTTAGGTATCGCCACATCGATTAGAGTTGTTTGTCTTGTTAGTTTATTAACTAGCACGAGATCTGGTCTATTATGTGCTACAGTTTGGTCTGTGAGCACAGTGCGATCCCAGTATAGCTTGTAGTTGTCATTCTCAAGCACACTCTTAGGAACATATTGATAATATGGGAGATGGTTTGTTTGTAGAAATCCCAGTTTAAAAGCTATCTCTTGATGGAGATCTTCCCTACTGAGTCATGCCGTTCCTTATATTCAGTTAAAGCAAATGCCTGGCAGCCTCCGGTAAGATGTTGGATAGTTTCTTGGGCTTGACATCCATATCGGCATTTGTCGTTTTGGACCTGAGGGTCTTTGACGATATATTTCAGGTAATTTTTGGTTGGTATAACCTGATCCTGAATGGCGAGTAATAAACCTTCTTTTTCAGGAAACATCTTTCCTGATGTCAGCCAATAGTTCGACGCTATATTGTCGACATAGTCTTGACTGACTTCATTCGGATGTCGCCCGTGCAGAGGTTTACCCATCCAGATGCGCATTTTTTCGTTTTTAGTAAGATGGTTTATGCGCATTTCTTGTTCCCTCAGGTTGATCGGTGTTGTGTCATTTACTGCGCAAATCGCGCAATGAACAGTAGATGTCTCCGCCTGCACCTGAAAATAAGTTCTTAAATTAGTAATCTGTTTATCTAATTGCTCCCTTATATCAATAAGTCCTCGTCCTCCTAAATATCGCGGGCATGTCGTTCTTTCTACTGCACTTCGAGGATGGTGTTTTTGTGCCTTTGTGAGGTGTGTTCGTACTTTTCTCCAATATTGAGCCAAAACAGAGCTTATGTGGCCCAAATTACAAAATATTTGTATGTACTAAACTAAATAATATAATATAAATCAAATTTTCTCACAAAGTAAAAATAAAAATAATTTTTAAAAGAATTAGTACTTACAAAAAGTTTTCAAAAGAAAAAAAATACAACCAATATAATTAACATAAGACTAGGTACAATATTTTGTTCGTTTTCATCAAACTTGTTTTTGAAACTATTTAAACTGGTAGCTTCTACTATGTCATCACTTAAACCGTTTAATTTATCAAAAACTCGGTTAACTAAAAAGTTTTGCCTTAAGGTGGTTTTAAAATACTTCTTTTCAATTTATAGTTATGACCTCTTAAT